CAGGGTCCCCATCAACACCTCCTGCAGGATGCATGAAGTCCCTGGTAGTTGTGGACGAAAGGCCCAGAAATGGATGAATTACATCCAAATCTCCCTTGGTTGAAGCAGGTGATAAAGAAGCCAGCAGCATGAAGACAGCACCATGGGACATCATCACCAAGAGCCCTCCAGACCTGATGATGATGATGATGATGATGTCACATGCAACTCCCCCCCCCCCCCAAAAAAAAAACTCCAAAAGCCTAATGCTCCCGATGAAATTGTAATTGTCCAAAATGTTTGTAGAATCAAAGAGTTGAGACCCTCCTCCTCACCCCTCCTTTCAAAAACTCATCAGCAGTTACTGTGATTGATCAAGTTCAATGTTCAAAACCCAATACATCAGATTTTGTGTGCCTCCTCTTCATAAACCAAGATTCAATAAATAATATATATATATATATATATATGATGAACTTAAGGCACACATTACACATTGTCATATGTCATGTGAGGAAGGGGGGGTTGTTTAATTGCATCACAAATGGGGTTGGGGTGGGTTGGGAAGGGAAAGGGGGATAGGAGTGGCTTAAGGAACCATGATGGTGATGGGATTGCCAAATGATTCCTTGATAAGGGAGGGCTGTGCAGATGGAGTTGTGAGCCAATGCTGTCCACATCCAAGCCATTCCCATCATCCATGTCCTTGGTAGGTTAATCATTATGCAAGAATGAGTTTGAGCTCCCCCCCTTGACCCCGTAGGATCCTTTGCCCTAGAGTGAGAGAGAGGAAGGGTCCTAGTGGGGGAAGGGGATTCATGTATTATGGTTAGCCCTAAACACCACTTGTGGACTACCTTGGCATCACTAAACAAACTCACTTTATATAACACTATACATACATACATACATAGTTATGTTTAGAGATGTTCACACATTCTTTGAAGGGGGAGGAGGAGGGGAGAAAAACCAAAGCCATGGAGTTGAGTCACATCTGCTTGAGGACTGTACCCAGTTGCAGAGGGAGATTGATGGCTGTCGAGCTCCATGCAGAGATGTCGATTCGGGCCTCTGACACCTACACAGGCTTTTGACGAGTCGGCCGAAGATTCCTTCCTCCGTATGAAGGACTCTGTTCACTGTGGATGTGTCGGTGAGGTGAAACACCAGTTTCCCCAAGCACGATTTCACCGTTGCGCTCCTGTCCATTTACTGCACGAGAGTGTGTTTGTCGACAACCGTGATGAGCCCGGCGTTCTACTCCGGGATGGTTCGGAATCAACCTTGCAAACAGTGATAAAAGATTGTGAATTTGAAGGAATGAATTTGCAGTGTCTCCAACAGTGCATGATTCTGGTTGTCGGACCCTTCTACTTCCGGCTGTAAGGACGCTTACTTTCAAAACTGCTCAGTTATTCTGCTTTGCATGAGTGGAGGTTAACGTAGTCGGCGGGAGGAACTCGTGCGACGATTGTGTGTAAGACATAACTGGTCTGGAGAGTGCAGAAGAGGCTTGAGTCCACCTATAAAACCTGCGGATATTGTAGATGCTTCATCCAAGGAACGCACAACAAAATTTTCCAAATTACCACTCCAGCAACCGAGCCACAGCCGTGGACTTGTTCGACATCTGATCATCAGCCCTCTCCATCATCGGCTTTTCGATCAAAAAATTTGAAAGCGATGTCCTCATCCGTGGCGTGATGCCAAAGTTCGCAGCTTGTCTTATCAAGAGCTCACTCGGAATTCCAAGTAAGATAATGCATTTTGACTAGACTCAAACTCCCTCAGAAACCCCCTCTTCACACATCCTTACCACATTCTAAAATCCTCTCAGGTTCTATTGAATGTACACACAAAAGCTCCACAGTATGAACCGAACAACTCACACTCCACAATTTCCTTGATATAAGCATCCACAGAATTAGAGGCGCTCTGACAAGTTTGGAAAATAAACGTATTCAGTCGATGAGTAGATACAGGTTCCAGTGAACAATATACATTAGGCAGAACTACGTGTACCAATGCGCAGAGATGGAGACACAATAGTAAAACTTTACTACGCTCAATAGTGCAAGCCCAAGCTTCCCACCTAGGCGCTCGCAATACTGTGAGCACGCACAATGGAGCTCCCAAAACGAGGCAGTACTGATGTAATTGGCAGGGGCAGAGGCGCAGACACTAACTGATTTTCGTACCGAGATTAATACTTGCGAGGGCCCAGTTCAGCAGACGTTTTGAACTGCTGCCTTCACTGGCTAAATCTTGCTCTACAATCCTAAACCGTAAACCTTGCAGCATAGCTCGACTGAACAAGACAACTTCTGAGATTGTCTATGCAAAATTCACTTGTCTATGCAATGCACGTCATGAGATTTTCGCCACTCTGCAAAATCAGATTTTGTAATATTTTCTATCTTTTTTTCAAAATGTATAGCTATTTAATAGCGTTTTGTATTGCATTGTAGCCTAATGTAATTATATTTCTTGTCATCTACATTTTCTTTTTCAATTTTTTTTTTAAAGGTGTACTTCGATAATTTGTCCACCATCAATAATTAACATCTAATTATGGATCTTTATTGTGGTTTGAAATATAAAATGTTAGTAAGCAAATTAGCCAAGTTCAATTTATGTTTTTGTAGTTGTGTAAAGTCATAATTATGTTAATTTATTTTGTATTTTAAATTATTTTTTGGGTTTGAATTATTTATTGATTGAAAACCAAAGCTTAAATCAAATTAAAGTCATTTGTAGATAAATAATTTAAAATAAAATAGAATTGTAATAACATTTAAGATTTGTTAAAATTCAATACACTGAATATAAATCCACCACAACTAAAGTGGTGGATTTATTAAATTAATTACTAAGTTTGTTAAAACTAAGATTAGTGACAATTTAGGTTAAATGTGCCAAAATGTTTGCTCCAATAATTCAAAAATCTAATAAGAATCACTTTATAATTTGAATATATTTTGGTTAGTAGCTCTTTTTATTCTAATATTTTTTTTAAATATTGGAAACTAAGATTCAAATTAATTGGCTTAATTTTAAAAGAGTTTACTACTATAAAATAAAATATTTATTAATATTTTAACTATCCTAAGAATATTGATTTTATGATTGGTAAGACTATTTTTAAGAAGATTTATATATAAAAAAATTAATTTAATATATTTTAAAATAAACTTGAAGGGCCCTCATTGTATTAAACATATTATAGATAATATAAAATTTGATGTTATTTATAAATATGTAATATATTTATAATATACATGATTATGAATATTTAATCATACATTGATCTTTTGAATGAGCATAACATTATTTATTTGTTATTTTTGTTCATTATGCAAGATACTAAATATCACCAAAAATATATACATATGATTTAAGTAATTACATTAAACTTATAGTTGGTATATAAATCATTAACTTTTATAATAAAATTATGTATTTCAATTTCAGGAAAAAAAATTGAAATTTCATCACAAAAAAAGATTTTTTCCAGGAAATAATTAAATTAATTAATATTAAAATTTTATTAATTTATTATGAATATGTATAAGAATTAAATTTTATATTTAAATAACTTCATCAATTTAGTATTAAAAAGAATCAAATTTGATAATATAAAGTTACAATCCATAAAATTGTAACATAAAAGCGTACTAGCATTAATTGTATAACATGTGTAGGAGAGATATATTGTTATTAGCATAGATAGAAGTTTTTTAATTTTACAAAACAAGTACCCAACTTGCACTTTAATTTTTTTATTTCATTCATTTGGCATCCATGTATGTCTACAAACATAAATGTTGGGTGGCTACTTTAGATTTTATAAGCAGCTCATTAATGTGCAACTAATTGCTGGAATTTTCTAAAATATTGGTAGAAGGGTGCAAGGTGTAGAGTGCAATGTTTGGAGTTTTTTAATTAGACAAAAAACACAGAAACTCAAAATCATTCACTAGTAATTAAAAACAATTAGGATTTTGGATTTATTTAAACATTTCTCCACAAAGTGCTTCTTGAATTTGTTGTTTATGAGTACTAAGTACCAACTGGGTACTTAATCCGCTTTGGATAAAGTCTCTTAATGAATACATACACGTACATATATACATAGATCTACAAACATTCACAACTATTGTAACAAATTTTCTGTCTACTATATATGTCTATATAAACAATAGAGAAGCTTTTTACATTTGTATCCTAGTCTTATCAAACGTAGCTATTACAAAATCCAAGAAAACATGACAGTAAAGGTACCCCTAATCTTCTTATTTAATTATCTATTTTTAAATAGTTTAAACAAATTTTCTCTACATTTAATGCACAATTTGATTAATTAACATTCTATTCATGCAAAGTTATTCCTTCGTTAAGCATGTAGGATGACTTCACTGCTTTACATCGTGCAAGCCTCACATACTTTATTCCAAGGCTTTCAAATGCTTTAGGATTGCTGGGATCATGGCTAACCACCTACTGGTGTGTTTTGCGTGGAGCATAGGTTATCATACAACATATGTAACATTCACTCATAACATTTATCTAAGTCGGGCAATGTAAGCCTGAAAGGATTGAATTGAGCGATTCTTCAATTGTGAATAACTCTGGACAGACTGAAAAGAGCTAGTTTCTGAAACGCGAGCTTCTTTCAATGTAACCAGGGAGGTAGACATCGGACAGACACACAACCAGACATTACACAGACTTCAGTTATCCCACCTAAAAACGAACAGCAATTTCAAATTTAAATCTCTGGAAAATGTTCAAAATAGAATGCAAAAGAGTCTCAATTACCATATCTCTAATGCTGCATATTCTCACGGATACAACCGAAAAATAACACTATGGCTGCATGAAACAAGACAGTTTGATCACTGGATAATGAGAAACTTCGACAGATCATACATTCACATCATACACAAAAGACAAGATAAACTAGAGGGTATGAGGGCCAATGTATGTAGTCAAAAACTAATTATCAAGGTGTGCACGTGTTCTGTTGAGGCAATCAAGGAAGTTATTTATAAAAATATATAAATAACCATAGAAGAGAAATCCAGAGTGAATAGATAGTACAAAGATTTAAAGAGAGTCGGTGTTCATGTGGGGCAGTGTGACGCATTACAAAGGCAGTAAACAAGCTATATTGGTCTCCGTGTAGCTTAAACCTGCTCAAAGACCAGTGAAGATCTATCACATTTCCTGAGCTTGCATTGCACACACTGCACCAATACAGAAGGCCGCCACTCTACTTGATCTTCTTCTTAGGGCGGAGCTGGTTGCTATGTCCACACTTCTTCTTTCTGCAATTGACGGCTCGGGGGTGTAGGCGGGCATAGCACCTTCACATGCGGTAAGACCAGTTAGATATGCAATGTCATCAAACGCCTCGTTACCATGAAAAAAAATCCTTGAGGGAGCACATCAGCCTTAGGCCTGAACAATCGGGTAGACACGAGTTTCAACTCGAGGCTAGACGTAAATCATGCAGGGCCTGTAAGCTACCAAAGAAAACCTAGGTCGCTACTCTACAGTAAGTCCCGTGATATAGCCACCGTTCAACCTCATATTCAACAATAATAAGCAAAAACTTCCGACATGGCAACTCACACTCCGGACAATGTTTAAAAGTGCAGCCAGAACTTTCAAGTCTGAATGTATAACAAGCTTCCATTACCCAATCACCACGAAAATCACTCACTCCAAGCTTGGGTGCATAGGGCAGAAAAGCTCCAAGATGCAGTTAGAAGCCATTTCACAAAATAAAAAGATAGAGAGAAGAGGGCACTAACTTCCGACATATCATCTTCTCCTGATTGTACTTGCGAGCCAGAGCCATCAACGAAGGCTCAATAATACCTCCTCGAAGGCGGAGCACCAAATGCAAAGTGGACTCCTTCTGGATATTGTAGTCAGCAAGGGTGCGGCCATCCTCGAGCTGCTTTCCGGCGAAAATGAGCCTCTGCTGGTCGGGAGGAATGCCCTCCTTGTCCTGGATTTTCGTCTTCACATTATCGATAGTATCTGATGATTCAACCTCGAGAGTAATGGTCTTGCCCGTGAGGGTCTTCACAAAGATCTGCATGGTGACACACCCTTAGAATTACAAACACGCAACAGATAAAAGCTCAAGAGACCCGGTGTATTCCTCTCTCCACCTAATGAAGCAACATTAGGGTTCTAGAGACTCACAACATAACCGGATTGAGACCCTCTAACAGTGCTCCATCGGAGTATTCGGGAACCTCGGAAGATGTATACCCGGGGGACGGTAGTCTTTGAATCCTACCCATTCGCACTCAGACTCGAATCCAACCACAAGAATTAAGCGAGTAAATGGCGAGCAAATCATTATCGTGGCAGTGGGCAATGTGGACTCCGGTTACTGGTCGCGCGGATTTGGAGCTACGGGAAATTGAGAGTGTGCCGAAGGCAATTTGTTCAGTGTCAACTTCCAATTGAGATCGTTCAGTAGCTTTGTGAGATCGATTTCTGGCAGTGTGACCACGGCTATGGCTGCCATGGCTCAAGGTGCGGCTGGAATTCAAGCTCTGAGCTTCTCGGCAAATTGCAGTTCCGTGCAGAAGCTCGGTGATGGCTTGCTGCGGGATACGAAGACGTGCCCGCCATCACGAAAGCAGCTTCAAGTGCGAGCTATGGCTCCCAAGAAGAAGGTGAATGCTTACGACGAAGGGTGGAGCAAGCAGTGGTTCGGAGCGGGAATTTTCGCGGAGAATACCGAGACGGAGCCCGTGAACATCGTGAAGAAGCTGGAGAAGAAGAAATTGCTGTCTCAAGTCGAGAAGGCGGGTCTTCTGAGTAAGGCCGAGAGCCTTGGTGTGAGTCTGTCGCAGATTGAGAAGCTCGGTCTTCTGTCGAAAGCGGAGGACCTCGGCTTGCTGAGCTTGGCGGAAAAATTCGCGACGGCCAGCCCCGCAACGTTGGCTTCCTTCTCTCTACCTCTAGTTGTGTTAGGAATTGCAATTCCCGTACTCGTTCCAGATAGCTCCACCCCCCTCGTTGTTGTGCAGAACGTCGGGAGTTTGTTGTGCTTGGCTACCGCCGGCGGTTTGTTTATCGGAAGCGTAGTGTTGAGCGGTTTGCAAGAAGAGTAGCATTCCATAGCTTTTTCAAGAACTCAATAACACCAGCATGTCACTCACGGACATGAATGTGGTAATCCTTGAGCAATTTTTTGTATATGGAATTCGAGCTTACGGATCTGTGTACTCTAAAATCACTACAGTTCCTCTCCTTTCCACTCATGTAAGTTTGTTTTCTTCATCCAGCGATGTAGGTTGCGGCATAAAATTTGTACTTGCGGACAAAATATCGTGAAGCTTAGTGGGTTAGCAATCCTTACACTAGAAATTGGAGCTGTAAAGTCCGAATTTGATGGTTTTGCAGAGTTGATTTGCCCATGTCTTACACTGAAGGGTGTTTTAGGCAATCGGCGAAGATGCAAACAGAATCACGGCCTGGAAGCATGAGACCTTGCTGCAATCTGTTCGGAACGTTCCCCCTTCATCACATTGTGGTAGTAGACAGGTTGCGGAACATTCCTGATTCACAAAATTGTGATCGAGTTGTAGAACCACCAGACTGATCCAGCTTGCACTGGCTTGTCATATTAGCCGAATTGCGTGATAATGCACCCCACTCTGTTGATTTGATACTTGACTGAATTGCCTTTTAGCCTTCTACATTAATTGACATCAATCTCTGCAGCCCCCGTATCTGGGTCCTCTTGTGACATTCTGAGTGATGTGTGCCACGAAAGACTTGCTGTCTTTTAATCAGCTAATGTATGTTTATTTAATCAGCAAAGATTTATACCAAAATAGATCTATAAAGATCATATAATTTAGGATGCTATTGAGTTATGTAAAAACTAATTTAGAAATGCATCAGGCATTTGGTAAATTATATTTGCAAATAAAAAGAACTTAAAAATTCATTAAAGTCAAATCTTAAAGAGTCTTTAAGAATCTTAAAGATATCTTTAAAAAAAAATCATAAAAACATATCAAAAAGTTAATAAGAACTTGAAAAAAAAAGCCTAAAAAACCTCAAAGTATTCATAAAGAATTCATAAAGAATCTAAATTACTTATAATATTGATCCTTTTGAAAATCTTTGAGAAATTTAATATTAATCCAAATCACTCAAAATCAATATTTAACTAGTTTTTATAAGTTTTCTCTCTAATCTTATTCTTTGATCAATAAAAGAATCCTAGATTTGTCACAATGATGTAGTTTTGTGTCAAGGACATGAAATAAAAGATGATGCATAAACCAATGAAATCTGTATCAAAGAAAGAGTGACAAAATAGAAATAAAGAAGTACGTATATTTAAAAGAAACTAGTATGGCTTATTGCCAAAAGACAAGAAAACTTGAGTCTCTTGAAATTAGACTAGAAGCAAGAAAAGAGTTGACAAGAGTGAAGAGGGCTTCACTCTTGTCTCTATATATATTATCTAACTAAAGGCTATATGGCGATATTCTATAGGACCTCCAAAATGTGTTGACTTTGTAGGACACATGCCTTGACTTACAAGACAAGTTTTTCTATGTGTGGGCTACATAGTTAGCTTGATCTTCAAACTAACAACATGTGTGGCACATGGCTAACTTGTTGACTACTTTTCTTATTCAAAAAATTAATTATAGATACCTATAAAGTCAAAAGAATATCTATGAAGCTTCTAAGAAACTTCCATAGGAGATATTATAGAATTAACTTATTTTTACTTACTTCTACTTACTTCTACTTATTCATACATGTAATTACTAGCTTACATGCATATGCCCATGATATTATCCCCTCTTCTAGGAACGAGTTCTATGAAGAGCGGTCATTATATGTTGAGAAAATCTATGATGCGACAAATTATATTTGCCACATACTCAGATCTTTGTTCTCTTTGAAGATGGTTGATATTGCCTCTCAACCATCGTCAGTGTTCCATACTATTGCAAGAGGACCATCCTTTTACTTGATCATTGTTGAGGCCTTCATAACTTCTTTCAAATAAAATATTTGAAATATTTTTGAGAGTTGATCCTACCTCTAATAAAATTATCAAACATCAAGAGTCTCTTCTAAGATTGTGATATCAAATGTGTTGTATCTTGCCATCTATTCGAGGAAAAATATGTCATTCTTGAGCATCTTCATTTCAATTGTAACGTCTTGAAGGTTGTATCAATCGCAATATCTCATTTTGCAAGTCAGCAAATGAAGGCTCTTTAGTCAAATTTGTTGGTTGTTGGTTCTTCATCCTTTTAATATCACAACTACAAAGAAGCTACAAATAAGGATTGAAAGTAGAATGTAATCTTGCCTAGATCTTATTTCTTTTAAAACGAACGCCTTCATTTTGAGTTTGATGGATGTCGTCGATGAAAAGCTTCCACCACCTTTGTTATATTTGCAAGATTCTTTATTGGCTCCCATGTGTGTTCACTAATATCACATCCGTTGTCGTGTTGTAACACGAGTATACAGTGAAAATAAAAAGAAAGGGGAATTTTATTAATATTCAGTTACCTCGAATATTGGGAGCATCAACCAACTCCAGTACAAATACTGAGTGGTCAGGTTCAGTCACTCCGTTACAGTCAGTCGGGGCATACTGAAATGCTCCGTTCGATTCCAATAACGGGAGTCAGCAAGAAGAGAAGGACCAATTCACACGATGGATTCGAGAAGCCAATTGGATCCAATTTCGATAATCCAATCCGGGTCCTCTTATCCAATATGAGACCTGAATTGGCCGGTCAATCCAATGCAGTCTAATTACGGGAAATCCAGGTCTTACTACGGGTCTTAGTCAATCTGACGCGAGGACCAATTTGACCCAATTACGGGAACATCCAGGTTACTACGGGCATCTTTCCCAATATAGGACCTGAATTGGTCGGGCGACTCAATGTGGTCCCGATTACGGGGTTCGATTCTGTTTCAGGCTGTCATGTTCTCTGTGCCGTTTCAGGAAACGTTGTTTTCGGTAAATGGATTTCTTAAAGGTAAAAACGAAGGAGAAAGCTTGACGGCGAGAGCCAATTTCGGATCCAAGCTTGAGATGGGAGCCAATTCCGGATCTAAGACGGAAGATTGAAGAAATTCAGAGGATAAGATTAGGGAGGGAAGGTTTTTTTTCGGGGGGAATCAGGGGAGGGAGCGAGTTTTCAAGCTTTTGCAAGGTTACCAGTTCGGTTTTCATTGGAGGTTTTTGGAAGATCAAGGGAATTAGAGAGAGGAGCTTCATGCTTCGGGTCGAGGAAGGAAAGACATAGAATTTGGATTTTTCTTCTTCGTAGAGTTTTGGGACGACTGAGGCAATCGCTGCTGAAGTCAGTGTTGTAATGGTGAATCGGGATTTTTAAATGAAGTGGGTTTGAATACTCTTGACTGTTTTGTAAAATCGAGTTACGTCTGTGATTGAAGGATTAAAGGGGTGTCTATAGGATTGAGTATGCGGAGTGAATGAAATTTATTGGGTTAATCTAACAGGACAGTCAGTGGATACAAGATCGTAAGTACAAAGGGGTATTGAAGATTAACAGTTTGGGTTGTTTGGGGTTCTCTGTAACGTCTAGAGACCTACTGGCTGGCGCAAAAAAAGGACTTCGACAAGCAGTCGAAGGGCATCAGTAAAGATTTACGGTGTATTCTTGGAGTCATTTATATTCCAGCAGTAAAAACTGATAGACTGCTTGACTATCGGTGAATCTCCATACTACCTTCTACAGCCAGACGCCCGGCGCGTTCTCGAGCAGGAAAGCACGTAATACGACATAAGTGGTGAACCCGACGTGAAAGCTTGAGGTAGAAGGTATTGGATTTCGGTTGATTTTATCTTTATTTTTATGGAAAACGAAAATAAAAATTTTGAAGGATTTTTGGGAGAAGTTTTTGGTGGGGAGTCTTCTAAAGGACAAGGTATGCACATGGATCCGTCTATTGCTAGTTTGTTTCAAGCCTTCTCATTGTCAATGCAGCAACAGCAAAGCAATGATCGAAAGGAAGCTTTGGCAACCAAAGCATTGCAAGCAGTGGTCAATAAAATTGATCAATTTGATGGGAGGAATATTTCAAGGTATTTAAGATGTTATATTCGTGAAATGGAATTAAATCAGATTTCTCAGAAAAAAATGGTTGCACTATTTGGACTTGCCACAATATCGGAGATAAGGGACCACATTACATCGATTACGGATCGTTGTGGGAATTCATGGGAGGATTTTTCACATGCATTGAAAGACGAATATTTCTTGGAAGATGCTAATCGCGTTACTAAGAAGCTGTTTCTGGGATGGATTGAACGGCCCAATAAGAATTTGCAAAAAACAGAGCTACTAAGGGAATTTGAGAGGCAGTACTCTCAATTATCGAAGGTAGAAAAATTGACATTGGAGCCGAACAAAGTTGATCTATTTCTTCAAGCTGCTGATGGAGAATTGCAAGAGAAATTAGAACCCCTTCTTGAAGACAAAGAAGAAGATGAAGGATTGACAACGAAGTGGAAGAACGTTGAAGATGCGGTGGGGTTGCTTACAAAAAAAGAAAGGAGGAAGGATAGGAGCAATATTCCGAAAACAGTACAAGCACCCAAAGCTCCAGTACGTACAACACCACCGACAATGCCTACAGTTCAACCTTCGACATCCTTGTCAAAGAAAGCAGATATGGGTATGGAAGAAATTATACGAGGAATGTGAGATCTTCAAATCAAATTGACAAGACTTGAAGAGAATACTTCTATAAATAATTCGAAGAATGTTTCAAAACAAGGATATGTACAAAGATGCATTTGGTGTGATGATGCTTCACACACTAGAAAAGATTGCAATGAATTTAATAATATGATACGACAGGGAATTATTTGCTGGAAAGATGGGAAGATAGCATTGAAAGATAGGAAGGATCTTCTTCAAACCAATTTTGGCAAGGGAGGAATGAGAGCATTGGTTCAAGATTACTTAAAAGAGCATGAAACAGTAGTATGAGAAAGTGCAAGTTATGGTGCTAGAGTAGATGATGAAATTGGTGGAAGTACGGAAGCTAGTGAGTTTTGGGCTTCTGCCGTTTCTACAATGCAAGAAGGGAAATTACCTCGAGAAGCGTTATTGAGAACTGCAGCTACAATACGAGGAAGAACAGGTTGGGAGGATCCTGTTGAGTCTCTTTCAGTTCATGCATATATTGCTAAGAGCCAACATGAAGCTTTGATGGAAGAAAAAAGACGAGGAAATTT